AACCCAGCTTCTCGTATTATTTGCTCAGCATACAGGTTGAATAAGTATGGTGAAAGAATACAACCCTGTCTCAAAACTTTCCTAATAAAACCATTCAGTGTTCCCACGTTCTGTTTGAACACCTGCCTCTTGGTCTATGTACAGGTTCCTCATGAGCACAATTAAATGTTCCAGAATATTCGTACTTCACAATGTTGTCCATAGTTTGCCATGATCCACACAATCGAAGGCCTTTGTGTAGTCAATGAAGTAAACATCTTTCTGGTATTCTCTGCTTTCAGTGAAGATCCATCTGACGTCAGCAGTGATATCCCTTATTGCATGTCCCCTTCTGAATCCGGCTTGAACCTCTGTAAGTTCTCTGTTAATGTATGCTTGTAGCCGTTTCTGTATTACTTTTAGTTAAACTTTACTCTCATGGGATATCAAAGATACTGTCTTGTGATTTCCATGTCCCATTGGGTCATCTTTCTTTGGAATGGTATCTCTTTCAATCAGTTGGCCAGATAGTTGTCTTCCAAATTTCTTGGCATAGATCAGTGAGTGCCTGCCTGCAGTGCCACCTCACTTTGTTGAAAGATTTCAATTTGTATTCCCTCAACTCCCGGTGCCTTGTTCTTTGCCAATTCCTTCAGTGTACCTTGGACTCCTTCCCTCAGTATCATTGGCTCTTGATCATATTGTACCTCTTGAAACAGGTGAATATCAACTATTTTCTTTTGGTACAGTGACTCTGTGTATTCCTTCCACCTTTTTTTGATGCTTTCTGCATCATTCAATAATTTGTCCAGAGAATTCTTCAATAACGAAAGTTGAGGCTTGAATTTTTTCTTCAGTTCCCCCAGCTTGAGAAATGCTGAACGTGTTCTTCCCTTTTGGTTTTCTAACTCCAGATCTGTGCATATTTTGTTGTAATATTTGACTTTGTCTTCTCGAACTGATCTTTGAAATGTTCTCTTCAGCTCTTGTACCTCCTTATTTCTTCCATGTTAGTATGAGTTTATTTTAATGTAAGAATTTTTTGAAATTAGTGCATTTTTTTTTTCATAATATGCATTTTCCATGAACTTAACTTTAACTCTGTGAAAAGTGCTGCTAAAGAGTGACAAGCCAAGCCAGCCGTATACTGGAAATTACTTAGCCAGCAGAGGACATTTAGAATATTTGAGAGTTCTCTAAACTTTCAAAACTCAACAGTAAGAAAACAAGCCTGTCTTAATTTTCTAGTCCTGCTGTAACAAACTTCAAAAGGGTTGGTTTTAAAGACAAGAAATGTATTTTTTCATGGTTTAGGAGGCTGGAATTCTGAATTCAGAGCTCTGATGCTAAGGGAGGCTTTCTCTCTCTCATCTCTGGAGGAAGGTCCTGATCTCGTCTGTTTCTGCTTCCTGGTTCCTTGGAGATTTCCATGTGTCTTCACATTGCATTTACCTCATCCCTACTTGAGGTCTTGCTTGTCTTAATCTCTTTTATATCTCAAAAGAGATTGAATCAGGATGCTGGCTAGACTAATCCTCTTTCATTAACATTTATAGACAACTGTCCCCAAGTGGGATTTTAATCACAGGAATAAAAACTCGAACCCACTGCCTTGGAGTTAGTTCTAGCTCATAGCAACCCTATAGGAAAGATGTTAGGATTTCCACCAGCATGTGTTTTTGGAGGATGTAACTCCGTCAATATATAGCCCAGTAAAATCTGGACAAAAGATTAAAAAGCCCAACAAAAGATAAAAACTGGCCAATGACAAATGAACACATGAAGAGAAGCTCAGTATCATTAGCCCTTAATCAAACCCATTACCACTGAGTCGATTGTAACTCGTAGGTACCTTTTATTGGGTTCCCGAGACTAATTCTTTACAGGAGCAGAGAACCTCGTCTTTCTCCCTTGAGCGGCTGGTGGGGTTGAACTGCCTACCTTGTTGTTAGCAGCCCAGCACCTAACCTTCAGCACCACCAGTACTCCTTTCATTAACCATCTGTTGTTGTAAAGTCCCATCCAGTTGCTTCCAACTCATAATGACCCTGTGTCGGGTTTCTCAGTTGCTGCTGGTGGGGCTTGAAAGGTCTACCTTGTGGTTAGCAGTCAAGTACTTATCCTACAGCGCCACACCAGAACTCCGTTGTTGTTGTTAGATGCTATCGAGTCGGTTCCGATTCATAGCAACCCTGTATAGGGTTTCCGAAGAGCGGCTGATGGACTTAACCGCTGACCCTTACCGTTCAGACAACCTTGCATTGCAATGCATTAACCCACAGCGCCACACCAGGACTCCATTAGGGAAATGCAAATTAAGACCACAATGACATATAATTACATAACAATTAGAAGAACTAAGGAGTCCTGGTGTGGTTCTGTGGGTTAATGCACCAGACTACAAAGCTGTTTGAACTGCAGGGTCGGTGGTTCAGGCTCACCAGTAGCTCCTCCGAAACCCTCTACAGAGTCACTTTGGGTCAGAACTGACTCATGGGCACTTCCAGCACTTCCAACAACAAGGTTAAAAATATAAAAACTTACACAGTGTCAAGTGCTGAGGAAGGCACAGAGCATCTGCAGTTTTCTTACATTGACTGTGAGAATGCAAGATGAGCTAGGACAACTCTGGCTAAAAGCCTGGCAGTTTCTTACAAATTTAACCATTCACTTACTACATGACCCAGCAGTCCTGGACGTGGATGTTCATAGTGACGTTAGGCATTGGATCATGATCAGAATGTCCTCGAGAAGCTACATTAGGACCAAGTCAGTAAGCATCGGGAGAAAGGAGCCTCTGCAAAGGCCTCCTGCCCCAGCCCTGATGGCAGGACGTTTTATACTAGTTGATTCATGGGGGCCACCAAAGCACTACCCATGGAGAGCTGATGGAAGCTGCTTTGAGCTAATTTAACTGCCTAAAAGGGAGTCGCAGTTTGGACAGAATAAACTAAGCATAAGGATTGGGGTGAGCACAGGATTTCTGCTTAATCATGCCTGGACTTTTGTTGCAGAAGAACATGGGGATGGGACCCTTGGAAATGGTCAACTCTTTGGGATTTTGTAGCCAATCTGATTAAATGGCAACTTCTGTTTCCCCCTGCAAATTCATAATTAGAAAAGAAATGCTCACTGTCACTCATAATTTGAGAAAATAATGGTGGTGTTACCTTTTGGGTCTTACTGATATTTAATGGAACAAAACTTTGGTTTGGTTTATGTTTCAGATCACAAAAATGGACAGCACTTTATAATACCTCAGATGGCAGACAGGTAAGGCCAGTTGCAATACCAGTGAATTTTTTCTGTCCCTAATATTTCCTTAGTTGTATAATGTTTAAGTGTATTGTATTTTGTGTTTTAACAAAGCCCATACATTTTTCTCTCTTATGGCTATACAATTTGGAAATCAGACGGCTGTAAGTAAACCACTATATAAAATTTAAGTTTCAAAGAGCACAAATTGTAACTTGACTAGTAAGAAAATTGGAGTCAGTGATACTGTCACTGTTGTAGCCAGTTGTTGTCTCTGGATTACATTCACAGACTATGTCTGTTTTTTTAAGAGACTATAACCTTTGTCTATAATAGAGGTCGGCAAACTTTTTCTATAAAGGGACAGATAGTAAATACATAACCTTTGCTGCTAGTAAATACATAACCTTTGCTGCTGCTGCTCAGCCTTGCCACGCTAGTATGAAAACATCCATGGACAACATGTAAATGAGTGGGCGTATCTGCATGCCAATAAAATGCTATTTCAGGATACTGACATTTGAATTTCATGTAATTTTCACGTGTCATGAAATATTTTCTTCTCTGTTCCCAACCATTAAAAAATCTGTAAAACCCATTCTTCTGGTTTATGGGCTGAACAATAAGCAGGCTACTACTGGCCAATTATAGGCAATATAGCTGGTTTATAATATCAAATAAGCTCATTGCTGCAAGAATGATCTTTAAACCCTTACTTGGCTAATTGCCTTTGCACAGATACTCTCAAGAGTTTATGAAATGACCAACTGCTTTTCCAGATGTAATCTCACCATCCTGGGTTTTTCCCATTCTGACTTTTTGTGTTTATGTCTAGCATGCTTTTTTGGTTTTCTTCAAAAATTGTAACTTTTCACATAAGAGCCTAGAGGTTAGCTTGGCAATAGTTTTTGTCTTTTAGTTTTTAAGTGATATTTTTCCTCTTAGCCATGTTCTATCATTTATGGTATGTCTAGAAGGAGTGACTTGCACCAAGTTTCCTCATTGGCCTCAATTTAGCTGTAGAATTCTTGACTTTGACAATGTCTCTGAACTATAATTTTCTTGATTTTGGAGGTATCTTAATCTTGTACAGAGCTCAACAAGAAAATGGTTTCATTTATTTGCTAATTAGTTTTGTACATTTTCTTAGCAGCCTGGATTTGTCTGAGTTGGCAAAAGCTGCTAAGAAGAAACTTCAATCTGTGAGTATCTCTCGCTATTGGTGAAATCCAGCGTGGGAGTCAGTGTGCCCTTCCAGTACCCATCCCCATGGACCTATCGCATCAGATGACTTAGTTCATCCTTTTCTATGTTGTTAAGTCTGAAGCAGACCTTTTAGTTACGGAGGGATGAAAATGGAAAGTACTGTTAAGTTTAGTATATCTGATTCATTGGCTCTGCTTCAGATCCTGCATCTTTCTCTGCCATTTAAATGAAGCAATGCATCTACTATTAGCAAGTTGTTTCTCCTGGTGAGAGTTCTCTAATTTCTCCCAACTTCAAGGAGTTAATGTGAGACTTATTCCTGGGCATTACCCCAATAGCCATATAGGATTCCAGAGAATGATAAAATTCAGTGAAGCAGTGGTGAGTATCAGAGATTGATCTATTGCCATGTGGGACCCAGCACATCCTATGCCTTTCATGTAAGTTCTCAACACTTAAGATTTTAAAAGCAGGTAGTCCTGCCCTGGGTACATGCTCCGAGTTGACCCAGCTCAGCGGGTCACCCAGTCTCACTCTCATCTGTGTATTTTTTTCATCTTGCCTACTTCAAGGCCCCAAGAAATCTTCTCTGCTAGTGATTTCTCATTGTTTAGTTCCCCCTCCATTATGCCTCACCAGGGTAGCTCATCAGCCATTTCCACCACCAGATTACACTCCTAACTGTTCTCATTGCTCTGTATTAGAACTAAGATTCTTAACTTTTTTCGTAACCCCTTAAGGGTGTCATTCAACTCTCTTCAGATTTTGCCCTACTTCCCATCTGGTACCTATTGTGTGAGTGTGTTTGTGTGTGTGTGTTTAAGTATTCTTTACTGGCTAACCCTCGTGAGACAACTACCTGTCACCTTCAAGCACTCGTTTAGGAATCCATTTTTTGTCTGTGGCATCCCCTTTCCTCACTTCCAGCCCTTTTATCATTCAAGTAGCTGAAATCTGACGACCTACACAAAGTAGGCAGTTATTTTCCCAAAGCATAACTCTGAAATTGCAGCTGTCCGAATATATGACTTCTTTTCACTTCCTATTTCACCTTTACCAGAGCGTCACTTGATACGAAGTATTAAATATTAAATTAATTTACCCTTCACTAGTATTTAATTGTACTATAAAATAAATGTTATTTTATACAATGTGTTTGGTGTCTCTGTGTTCTGTATCTACAGTATTGTGTGTCTGTGTGTTTTTTTGCCTTTTCTTTAGTTAAGGAGTTTGTATAGTAAATGTTGAGTGATTTCTTTATAATTAAGTAATATGTAAGCAGATGATTGTGATTTTCTTGGACTTGTCTGTATTTGCTAGGGTGCTAGTTTCATGAAAGTCAGGATATGCCTATAATATCTTTAGTGTGTGTTGCTGGGCTGACACATTAAATTCCAACTCATAGTGGCCCTGTAAAGGTTTCTAAGGAGTGGTTGGTGGATTTGAACCATTGACCTTGTAGTTAGCAGTCCAGTGCTTATCTTACAGTGCCACACCAGGATTTTCTTAGTAATATGTGCTGTAGTAATAAGTGCCGTTGAGTAGGTTATAACTCATAGCGACCCTGTATAGTTTCTGAGGAGTGCTGGTTGGTTTGAACTGCCAACCTTGTGGTTTGCAGTCCAGTGCTTATCCTATAGTGCCACACCAGGACTCCATTTGTTGTTGTTAGGTGCACTGGAGTCCTGGTGTGACGCTATAGAATAAGCACTGGACTGCAAGGTCGGTTTGAACCACAAGGTCTACACTTAACAATAACAACAACAAATGATCTGGAGCACACTTTAGTACAGCACTCAAAAACTTTGGCTCTGGGTCAAATTGGTTGGGTTCAGATCTCAGCCTTGCCAAGATCCTTATCCTTTCTGTGCCTTGGCATTCTCATCTACAAAAAGGAGTTAATGACACCAGAGAGGTTGAAAATCATTACTGCTCAATAAAGGTTCCAACCAAAACCAAACCCAGTGCCGTGGAGTCAGTTCCGACTGCAGCCCTGCATAGGATTTCCAAGGCTGTCAATAGGTAGGACTCATAGGGACCTTTGTGGGAGTAAAAAGTCTCATTTTTCTCCTGCAGAGTGATTGGTGGGTTTAAACTGCAAACCTTGCAGTTAGCAATCCAGTGCTTATCCTATAGCACCACACCAGGGCTCCTCAGGAAGGGTTAGCTGCTGTTATTATTACTTATTGACCCCCATTAGGTTGTCCCCTCCCCACAGGTGACCAGTCTGACCAATGCTAGTTCAGTGTTGATCCACCCTTGCTGATTTCTTTCCTCCTTCCTCTCTCTCTCCCTTCCTGTCCTTCCTTCTTTCCTGATGAAAAGTGAAGACGAATATAAAAAAAATTATAATGCATTCCTTGAATCAGTAAATGTTCATATTTTAAGAGACTAAAATTTGGTTTACAGGTCTATCACTTACTAACTTTGTGACTTTAGATAAGATACTAAGTTCTGTGCCTCGATTCCTTATCCGAAAAATGGGGTGATCATCTCTATCTTCATAAAACTGTTGTGTTAAATACGGTGTTAGGACAGTGCCTGGGATGTCAGCACTCAGTCAATCTTCACCATTTTTGTTGTTAGTAACAATAACGCTGCCTAGTAGCCCCCTGGAGGAGACTGTATTTATAAAGCAAGGTCAAGTTCTTAATCCTTCGTCATCTTAACCAGCAATAGGCTCTCACAGTTGACTTAAGTATAAATGTAATGTAATCACATTAGAGAAAACTTGGAAAATAGAGAAGGTAGTCTCCATCACTATATGTGGCGCTGTGGGTTAATGCACCAGACTGCAAAGCCATTTGAACTGCAAGGTCGGTGGTTCAAACTCACCAGCTGCTTCTTGGAAACCCTATACAGGGTCGCTATGGGTCAGAATCGACTCAACAGCTCTTAACAACAACAGCAACGTACTCTTAATGGATTCTGATAATATATTTTGGTGTATTTCTTCCAATTCTTACTTCGTAAGTATGTTTCAAACTGAAGCTTGAGCATAACTTAACTATAGAATTTTGTATCATGACTTTTTTTGTTGTTTTGGCAGTGGTTGTTTTTCTCCTGATAGTGTATTGTACCCATTTTGATGTGCTGCTATGAGGTCTTCGTAGCCAGCATTTTAAATCTCTGTATAAAATACCTCTTGGCCTGTCTGTGGGTGGATATTTATCGAGTACCTCCTCACCGGCCCATCGTGTTTGTTGAGTGTGAAGAGCACAGTAGTGGGGAACAAACACAGAGTCTGCACTCCCAGAGCAGGGAAGTAGCCAATTGAGAAATGATCCCTCTCAGTGGTGAGGTGAGTTTCATGAGAGACAAAATGCAGGGAGAGCTAGTGTCACCCTCCCAGGGACTCTCCTGGTCTGAGTGGAGGAAGACCTTGATTGTTCTGCCATTTCCACTGCTTATGTTAGGCATTTACAGTCTGTGTGGGGATGGCTCTGCACAGTGTACTCATAGGTCCCTTTGTAGAGCTTCCAAAGCTCCGTTCTTTGGGGGACTGAAGGACTGCTAGTGAGAAAGGTAGCAGAGGAACTTCCCTGAGGCCTGGGTAATATTTTAGTTCAGTGGAGCATTGTAATTCTCTCAACCTGACATGTTTTGGCTACTTATCCTACCAAGTGTTTAGGATCCCTTGTGTTTTGGGAACCTGACAAGCATTCTTATAAGCAAAAGAGGAAATTGAAAGGGTAGTAAATATTCATGTGAGAAATAAGGAGCTGGAACTATGCACATTATCTTACATCCTTAAGAGGAACAACCACACCTGTGTAGCAAAAGTAACGAGTTTCTATAGTCTGCACTATTTTGGAATTTGTATCTTCTGTTCATTTAACAGTGGGTATTTACTAATAAGTTCTGGCTTTAGATAAGACATTGGGAAATAAGAGGGCAACTAAGGCCCTTCAGTGTTAATCCTTGTGTTAATCCTTGCTTCTTTTGTTCCTGACATTTTTTTACTTTCAGCTAAGTAATCATTTGTTTGAAGAACTTGCCATGGACGTGTATGACGAAGTTGACAGGCGAGAGACAGATGCAGGTGACTTAACATTTGGCTTTACCTAGTAAGCTTCTGCTATCAGTGGGTTTACCTTGCCCAGCTTCTTCTGTCCTGGTTAACCTGGGTATCGATATTTACCTCTCTGTGTTGACTTCAGAACGTACTACCCCAAGTCTCCTTAGTAAGCACAAGCCGTGGCTCCCAGGGCATCAGTGGCACACCAATTGTGATGAGATTTTCTTTCTGACTTTTCCCTCTGGCTAGTCTGGCTTGCCACTCAAAACCACAGCACCCTGGTAACTGAGACAACCGTTGTTCCCTTCCTTCCGGTCAACCCCGAGTATTCGTCCACACGAAACCAGGCAAGTGGCTGAGTTTGAAAAGTATCTCTTAGTGGTATTTTGGGAATGGCTTGATATCATGGTATTTTGTTTTCCTAGGGCGGGTATGTTAAGTTTTTTGATTGATAAAATGTTAGTATCCTATAGTTACCACCTCTACACACAACTCACAAATTGATAAGAAAACCAGGAGATATGTAAAGACTTGACTGGAAAATAATGTAAAGCAATTCACAGAACTATAGAGGGCTTGCTAATGTGAAGAAATGTTTAGCCTCATTAGTAATCGAAGCAAGCATCCTAGAGATGGTAATGAAACTTTGATTTCAATATAAGATGTATAATCAATGGATACTCATAGATGGGCCTTCTTCACATAGCAGAGAAGAATTTAAATCCCTGCAAACTTCAGAAAGCAATTTATAAATCCATTCAGGAGCCTCAAAATTAAGCGCAGGCATATCTCAGTGTACTGTGCCTCCCTTGGACTCTGCAGATAGTGTGCTTTTTACAAATTGAAGGTTTGTGGAAACTGTGCATCAGGCAAATCTGTTGTCATTTTTCCAACAGTATGCACTTAACTTTGTGTCTCTGTCTCATTTTGGTCCTTCTCACAGCATTTTAAACTTTTTCATATTACTGTTGCTCACTAAATAGACTATAGTGTCCACATAACTTTTTTTTTTTTAAATGTTTTATTGTGTGATAGTCTACATGGGGGAACATTAGTTTTACATTCATTCCATCATACATCGTCTCATTGCCATCCTGTCCATGCATCGTCACCCAACCAAAGGTTATACCCTGTAATCCCGCCCACCCTCCCCTCACGGTCCTCAGCACACAGCCCCTCTCCCTCTCTGGATCCCTAGTCCTCAGCCACTCCGTCTCTTCACGACATCCTCTCTCTTCACGTCATCCACTCTGTCTCAGTCTCTGGACTCACTGCTCCTCTGGTTGGGGTCCCACTCTCCACTCTTCTCCATTGATGGTCCCAGGGCCCTCCGCTCCTAGACTGAAAGGTTAATCACGCCCCTCCTTGCTATAAAATGTCCACCTTTACATTTCCAGTCCTCACAGTCAGTCCTGGTGACAATTATTCACCCTTGCATCCCAAGGGACCCATCTGCATTTCTTTTCATCTGCCCTTCCTAGATAGGTCGGATACTACTCACTGGAGAATCTACCATCCTCCCCGCCCTGTGGTTCTAGGTTCCCTCTTGAAAGCTTGTAAGCCAGTCACTTCTTAACCTTTGTATCCCTTCTCCCATTTTTGGTTAGTCAATGTTCAAGTTGTCCATCCTTATCTACTCTTTGTGTGGAGGGGCTGGGAATAATTCTGGGAGCAGGGATTTGTTTCCTCTTTTGAGCTACTGCATTTATACGTGGATGTCCAGTTTATTAAATTGTATCAGATGATTCTTTTTTCCTCTTTGTTCTTTGGGTTGAGCTTTGTTCGTCCCATCATTGGAGCCATGGCAAGTAGGTATCATCTGCAGGTGTGGGTGTTCCTGCGTCTGTCTACCCTCTTATCATTTGGTCGCTTCAGTCTCCACTCTAGTCCTCTGCAGATGTGTCACTGACTCTTAGCCCATGAGTCCCCAGGTCTTGCCTCACTGCTGACCAACAGGTCTCCACCTGGGCTCACCATAGTCTGCTGAACGATGCAGGGCTTAGCTCACTGCTTCTTCGATGTTCTTCGGTCACTTCTCTTTATGGGTGACGTGTGTGGTCGCCAATCAGAATGTGTTTTCCCATTGCGTCTTAGTCTTGGAGGAGGATTTGCACTGAGAAGACCTGATCACTTACCTTGATATCTCCTGGGCAGACAGCTTGTTTGTTCTTGTGGTAACAGTTGGACTGCCCTTGTTGTTTTGTATTTTTCCTGTAGGTCCTTCTTTCAAGAAGTGTCTTCTGGTTTTCTGGCTGCTCCAGGCTGGTCCACTTGTCCTTTCAAAAGGAAAGTTTCCCTTCTCTGATGGTCTGGATGTGGTTCAGGCTTCCTTCTATAGTTTTATGTAATGCAGAGGCTCCTCATGAGACCTCCTTCACTAGATACATTTGTAGCCCCATTTTAGGTATTCCAATTAGTTATAGGCAGAAGACGGACTTACAAGCTTTCTATGGTGATATTTCTGGCTATTCCTTTCACTCCCTCCAGTGACTGTTTTATATTATAATGCATGGAAAACCAAGGTTCAAAAGTCATCCAAGTATCTCAACATTATTCCCTTCCTTTCTCCATTCCAACCCTTTCCCAGTCTCTGGATCCCAGAGCCTTATTGTTCCAAGGCTGTGCCTACATCAGTTTTAACCTCTGTCCCATTTAGCTCATTCATACCTGCCTAATTGTTCTCCTGTCTGCCTTGTTCTTCCATTCCCCTCTCCCTACTTGTATATTGCCCCCCTACCCAATACCCAAATTATCCTGTGTCTATTCCCTGCCCTGTGTACCGCCTTTCCATCCCACCCTTATTCCTACCCCTATGTCCTAGCAACCTGCTAGGAATCTACTTGAGTGGATTAGTATGGGTTCTTTTTCTTAGTCTTTTACAGTAGTGCTCCTATGCAGTATTTTTCCTTTTGTGATTGACTCACTTCATTCATCATAATGTCCTTAAGGTTCATCCATGTTAGGAAGTGGCATGTAGCTTCCTTGTTATTTTTCAAGGTAGCATAATACTCCATTGTGTGTATGTACCACAGCTTGTTTATCCATTCTTCAGTCGATGGGCACTTAGGCTGTCTCCATCTTTTTGCTATTGTAAATAGTGTAGCTATGAATATTTGTGTGCATATATCTTCCCCGTGTTGTGGCTTGTTTGTCTTGTGGGTAAATACCAAGTAGAGGAATTACTGGATCATAAGGTATTTCTATTTTCAACCTTCTGAGGAAGCGCCATATTGCTTTCCAGAGAGGTTGGACCGTTTTGCAGTCCCACCAACAATGCAGGAGTGTCCCAGTCTTTCCACATCCCCACCAGCATTTATTGTCCTCAACTTTTTTGATCTTTGCTGTTATTGCTGGTGTGAGGTGGTATCTCATTGTTGTTTTGATTTGCATCTCTAATGGCTAGTGATTGTGAACACCTCTTCATATGTTTATTGGCTGCCTGGATCTCCTCCCTGGTGAAGTGTCTGTTCCTATCCTGTGCCCATCTCTTGGTTGGGTTATTTGTCTTGGTTTTGTAGATGTGTAGTATTTTCCTATATATTCTAGAGATGAGTCCCTTATCCGATATGTCGTTGCCAAAGATTTTTTCCCAGTCTGTGGGTTCTATTTTTACTCTCTTGGTGAAGTCTTTTGATGAACACAAGTTTTTAATTTTTAGTATGACCCACTCATCTATTTTGTCTATTTTTGTTTGTGTACTTTTCAAAATGTGTGGCAGCCTGTCTGTGCCCTGAATTAGTGCCCTCACGTTTGTCCCTATTTTTTCATTGATGATCTTCATAATTTTGGGATTCACATTTAGATCTTTGATCCATGATGAATTCATTTTTGTGTATGGCGTGAGGTAAAGGTCTGGTTTCAGTCTTTTGCATAGCGCTTTCCAGTTCTGCCAGTACCATTTATTACAGAGATTGTCTTTTTCCCATGCAATGTGCCTAGGCATTTTGTCGAAGATCATTTGGCTGTAGGTGGTTGGGTTGATATCTGGATTCTCGATTCTGTTCCATTGATCAATGTCTCTTTCATTGTACCAGTACCAGGCTGTTTTTACCACCGTAGCCATGTAGTAAAGTTTGAAATCGGGGAGTGAGAGACCTCCAACCTTGTTCTTCCTTTTCATCAGTGCTTTGCTTATCCTGGGTCTCTTTCCTTTCCATATAAAATTAGTAATTGTCCTTTCCATCTCTTTGAAGAATGTTGTTGGAATCTGGATTGTCCACATAACTTTTGTTTGTACTGGGAGACCAAAAAATTTGTGTGACTAATTTTATAGTGATGTTTGCCGTATTGTGGTGGTCTAGAGCCGAACCTACGGTGTCTCTGAGGTATGTCTCTACATCCTTTTGTGAAGGAAGCCCTCGCTAGGGAGTATGTTCTAATCAAATAATAAAAAATTCAAAGGTTTGTGCAGTGATTTTCATCAAACCATATGTGAGGTAATAGAGCATTGTTGTTGTAGTTGTGTGCCATCGAGTTGGTTCTGCTTGTAGTGATCCCGTAGAGGATTTCCAGGTAATGGCTGTTGAGTTTACACGACGAATCTTGCAGTTCAAACTGATTTTACAGTCCAGCACATTAACTTGCAGCGCCACAAGAGTATTAGCCCAATCTAAACAACATGAAGAGAAGTAATACATAAATTAGAAAGGCATTGCAATTTGGTGTTATGTTGTAAGATAAAAATTGGACTACAAGATCAGTCTGAACTACAAGGTCAGCAATTCAGATTCCACAGATGCTCCTTTAAAACTGTACAGGGTTGCTGTGGGTGGGAATGACTCGACGACACTTAGCAAGAACAATAATGGCCATATGTGTTGTTGTTGTTCAGTGCCGCCGAGTCATTCCAAACCATAACGACTCTGTGTACAGTTTCCAAGGAGTGGCTGGTGGATTTGAACCTTGTGGTTCAAATGGTTAGCAGTCCAGTGTATATTTTACAATACCATACCAGGACTGACTATTTATAATGATGAATAAACATAGCTTATCTTGAAATTCGGAAATTTCCCTACAATTTAATATTTCACTACTGGATCTACTTAAAAACTAAATTAATATTAAAAGCATTAAATAGAACCATTTTTTGTTCACTACAACAAAATATACATCATAATAACTTAAATGTTACAAAGCTCTCTTGTGTAAATGATTTTAAACTGTGAGCTTAGAAAATACTTGATTCAATTATGGCTATCAATAATTGTATTTTAAAAATGCTGGAAGGTCTTCTCGGGAGTTTAGTAATAGTCCAATGAGTTTTATGTGAATATGTACCAAGAAACTTAAAAAAACAATTTGTGGAAAAATTCATTACCTCCTAATTCTAGTTTCCTTCTGACTTTTTGAAGTCCCTTCATATATCTCTTCTATATTGAGAATATTTCCAGTTGTTTTCTCACCCTTAGGGCAGACAGAAGTTAGCTCGGTTTAATGCCCATGAGTTTGCCACGTTGGTAATCGACATTCTCAGCGATGCCAAGAGGAGACAGCAGGGCAGTCCTCTCTCAAGTTCAAAAGGTAACTATTTCAAGTCTGTACATGTTTGCTTTTTTGACTTTCTGAACTTAACACTAGTATTCAGTTTAGAGTCCTATATTAACTAAAGCAGTCATCAATATATTATGGCTTATTTGAAATTTTATATGTTTTACTGGCAATATGTTACAACTAAACATTTGCTTCTCTGACCCTCGTTGTTGTTGTTAAGTGCTGTCGAGTCAGTTCTGAATCATAGTGACCCTGTTTAGGATTTTTGAGGAGCTGTTGGGTTTGATCTGCCAGTGCCACTGAGTCAGTTCGTAGCCATAGCGACCCCTTGTACAATACTGTCTGATCCTGTGCCACTGAGTCAGTTCCTAGCCATAGCGACCCCTTGTACAATACTGTCTGATCCTGTGCCATTGAGTCAGTTCGTCGCCATAGCAACCCCTTGTACAATACTGTCTGATCCTGTGCCATTGAGTCAGTTCCTAGCCATAGCGACCCCTTGTACAATACTGTCTGATCCTGTGCCATTGAGTCAGTTCGTCGCCATAGCGACCCCTTGTACAATACTGTCTGATCCTGTGCCGTTGAGTCAGTTCCTAGCCATAGCGACCCCTTGTACAATACTGTCTGATCCTGTACCACTGAGTCAGTTCCTAGCCATAGCGACCCCTTGTACAATACTGTCTGATCCTGTGCCAGCGTCACATTGCTGTTTGAGTCCATTGTTGCAGCCATCATGTCAATCCATCTTGTTAAGGGTTTTCCTCTTTTTGACTGACCAACTACTTCGAGTCCTAGTGAATTGAAACTACCTCCAAGTTAGACCAAACCAAAATTAAGCTCACTGCCATCAAGTTAATCTGACTCATGTTTTTGTTGTGAAGTGCCGTCAAGTTCGTTCTGACTCATAGCAACCGTGTATAGGGTTTCCAAGGAGCGACTGGTGAATTTGAACTGCTCACCTTGCAGTTCAAACTAGCCTTCCGGTTCTGTGTCCTCACAGCACCATAGCAGAACTCCTAACTCATAGTGACCTTTTAGTGATTACCTGTTATTCAGTGTTATCAGCTTTCTCTTCCTTACAAAGCTGCCTCCTGAATTTAACCCAAAAGTCTAACTTAGCTCTTGTTAAAAGACATAAGAAAGTAAGCTTTGTTGATTGAAATAGTAACTCAGTGTTGTTTATTTACAAAACAGAGTTCTAAATAATTAAAATCTGAGCTCTAGTAGTGTAGTGGTTATAGATCGGGCTGCTATCCTCAGGGTCAGCAGTTCGAAACTACCAGCTGTTCCGCAGGAGAAAGATGAGGCTTTCTGGTCCTGTAAAGATTTACAGCCTCGGAAACCCTGTACAGGGCAGGGTCGCTATGAGTCGGAACCGACTCCCCGGTACAAAACAACAACAACAACAACATTATAAACTTGAAATATTTAGAGTGAGAATTAATGTTCTTTAAAATGGAAAAGAAAGTCAACTAGCACCTGTTTCAGAGGTGCCATGATTTCACGTGGAGTCCTGATGTGGCGCTGTAGGATAAGCCCTGGAGCTGCTAACAGCCAAGTCGGTGATTCCAACCCACCAGCTGTCCCTAGACAGGGCGCTATGAGCTGGAGTGACTGGATGGTCGTGGGCTTGACTTTGGTTTGGTTTAACTTGAAAATAACTTTAATTCAGCAACACTCAATTTTATGGATATCTGCTCTGATCTTTGTTATTTGCTTTTTTCTGGTAGGTGTAGGCTTAGTTTGTTCTTCTCTTTCTAGTTTGTAGTATCCTCTAAGTTTTGATGTGTTGTACTTTTCATTTTTGTTTGACTTGGAGAGTCTGTAATTTCTTCTTTGATCCATTGGTAGTTTAATAATCTGTTGTTTAATTTCCATGTTTGTATATTTTCTAGGTTTTTCTCTTATTAACTTCTAGCTTCAGAGAAAATACTTTGTATGATTTCAGTCCTTTTTTAAATTTATAAAGACTTGCTTTGTGATTTATCATGTGATCTGTCCTGGAAAATGATCTTGTGCATTGGAGTAGAATATATATTATGATCTTTGGGGGGTGGAGCATTCTGTGTATGCCCGTTACGTGTAGTTGGTCTGTAGTGTCATTCAAATCCTCTGTTTCCTTGTTGATCGTCTTTCTAGATGTTCTGTCTGATACAAAAGTGGGTGTGTTAAAGTCTCCAACTATTATTGTAGTACTGTCTGTTTTTCCCTGCAGTATTTGTTTTACATATTTAGATGTCCCGTTGTTAGGTGAATAGGTGAATAACGAGGAGGCATCAAAAAGTGGAAAAATGAAAAGAAAAAATGGAAATTTCTATATTGGGCAGAACATCTAAAAAGGGACTTGGGTGTTCTTTTGTTTTGCTTTTTCCAGAATGTAGTATAGACAAAAAAGATCTTTGGTGTTTGCTTACCGTTTCCTCTTCTTCTCCCTCCCTGGTGTAATTAAGATATGAAAGTTCCAAATCTGTTTATAACTTTCAATCTCTTCCAAACATACCAGAGCACACCCGATGGATAGTCTGAGTACCAGCAGGCGCAGCCACTCAGGCAAGATGTAATGCATTAACTAAGCTGTCCAGGAGGGGATGCGGTTGTCTCCTGCCCCTTCTCTAGTTTGGCTGTCATATGTTTTAGGAGTGACCCTTCAGTTTTGCCCGAGGTTTCTTTCCCTGCTTTGTAGGAGCTGCTTATATTTGAGCTGGCCACCAGGGGAAGCACACTCAGACTTTCCCCCTTTTCAGAAAGAGGAGGGGCTGGCACCCCCTAAGAAGGCCCTCAAGAGATCTGTGTTACTGGTTTCAGGGTCCCAGTGACCCTATGATGATTGGGGGCAGTCTGTGTCTACTTAGGTGACCCAGCTCTTTACTGCAGAGAACCTTCTGTGAGTTCATATTAGTCCAGCAGCCGAGAGTTACCAACTAGGAGAGGGATTGTCATACCTCTAATGGACCCCCAGAAAGGTACGCCTTGTTGCTATCAGAGCCCCCCTGTGGTATGTTGGTTGTGGGTGTAGCCTCCACTCAGTATGCCTGCTTCCTAGCACAAAGTATCCTCAGTCATCAGTCCTCAGTGCTGACTGGAAGGGGGAGTAGGCAGACTCTTCTGTTGGATTCAGAGTCCTGGGCTACGGGGTGCACAGAGAGGCAGGGAGAGTGCTGACTATGGGAGTAGACTCTACTATGGAGGCCCTCGTCAGCCATTTGCAGCAGCCTGGCAGCTAACAATTGTCAGGCAATACAGGGGTTGTTATGCTCTGTTTAGATAGCCATGTCTTGTTGCTCTCTGAGTCTCCCTGGTAGATTGTTAGTTTTGTGTGCAGCCCCCTCTTAAGACTCCTACTTCCTAGTACATAGTAGCTATAGTCAGCAGTCATTAGCACTAACCAGAAGTGGGGTCATTCTAACCCTCACTGATCCCTAGGAAGGTTTGTCCTTTTGGTTTCAGATGCGGGGAGGCAGGTAAAGCACTGACTTTGGGGGCAGACTTCACTGGTGGACCCTTGTGTAGCAATTCACAGCAGGCTTGCAGGTGTACAGTATCTGGGTGGGGAGGTGCTGGTATGCTTCAAACGGAACTCCAGGGACTCTGCCTTGTCATCAGAGCCCCTGCCCCCCTGGAGGATGTTGGCTATGGGACACAGCTCCCAAAAAGATGTCTGCTTCTTAGCACACAGCAGCCTCAGCACTGACTGGAACGGGGAGCAGACAGACCTAACTTGACTCCCCAGAAAGTCTGCTCTGTTGGTTTCAGAGGCCTGAGCTGCGGGGAGCTCCAGGAGGCTGGTAGAGTGCTGATGATAGGGACAGATTCCGCTGGACAGGCCTTCTGTAGCAGTTTGAAGCAGACTTGCCACCAGCAGTGTTAAGTGCCATCAAGTTGGTTCTGACTCAGCTAAGAAGCTGGTAGGTTTGAACTGCTGACCTGTGGTTAGCAGTCTAATGCTTATTCTACAGTGCCACACCAGGACTCTGGAAGGATGTGTTGTTAAGTGTTGTCAAGTTGTTTTTGACTCATAGCAACCCTGTATAGGGTTTACGAGGAGCGTAAGTCCTTTATAGGGAGAGTTTGAACCACCGACCTAGCAGCTCAAACCAACATTGCAGTCCAGTGCTTATTCTAGAGAGCCATACCAGGGCTCCAGAGAAAGGTGATAGCACACTTCAAGTGGACCCAGGACAGGTCTGCCTTGGTGATTTTCGGGCAGAAGTTTGGGGCTTGGGGCTGTGTCTCTTTGTCCTGGCAGGGCTTATGATGGTTAGGGCAGTAGGCTCTTTTCCTGGGGCCAGTACCGCAGTTCACAGGAGCTGCTAGGGGAAGGGGTCAGGGATAATGGGAGAAGTGATTTTCCTACTGTATATGCTTCCTGTTGAATCTTTGATTCTTGCCTGTTTGTAGTTCCTGCTGCTTTCTTCTGCTTCCTGAATCAGAATCTCTCAAAGCTGAGCACCTTTTCCTTGTATTTCCAACTGTCTTTGAATGCATTCCCAGAATCTACTTGTGATTCTTTTGACATTGTTGATTTCGTCATATCCTTTCTGTTCTTTAAATGATGAAACTCAAAACTCAAAATTCAAAACAAAGTTTTTTATCCCCCCAGGCCTGAAATAAAGCTGTTTATTTTTGTCACTAGACAATGTGGAGCTCATCCTGAAAACCATCAATAACCAGCACAGTGTTGAGAGCCAAGACAATGACCAGCCAGACTATGACAGTGTGGCATCAGATGAAGACACGGATTTGGAAACCACCACGACCAAGGCAAACAGGCAGAAGGTAGGATCACACACTGCAGACAGAAATGGCACAGGTCTCCTTTTCAAATATTTCTCTTGCACCATTGCCTTATTTGCAAATCACTTGAGGGCTAGTCCTATGGAAGATGCTATCTGTTGAAAGTTGGGTTCAATACTAGCTTGGGCCAACCAAAATCACAAATGAGACAAATCGTTTTAATATAGGGCTCCTGCATCCCAGAGTGAATTTGCTCAGTCACAGCAGGTCTGCATTGTGATTGTATAAAATGTGTGAGTAGTGACTAGTGTGTGCATTCCTTCAGCTGTCTACTGGTGACTTCTCTGGATAATGTTCAGTATTGGGCAAGTTTTGGTTATTTTCCCATGAGGATGTCACCACCTAATAGGTGAAGCTAACTGAAATTAAAGGTACAAGATGATTCATCTCATGAGACTCACAAGTAGAAGCTGGGGCAAGAGGGAGATGACCAAGGGGTGCCAGGGAAAGCTTGTTAATGGGATGCTGTAGCAGGGAGGGGCAGTCTAGGCAGAGACTGGGGAAGCTAGGGTGCCTAGAGGGGAAACCTGCTCATATAGAGGCACAGCCTAAAAAGAGTGGAACTCAAAGCTGCAGCTGAGGACGAGGCCCCACCCTGGAAGAACTCAGTGCCTGCTGGGAGGAGCTTGAACTTGGTCAGGTGTGCAGAGCACAGGCAGCTTGAGGCAGGCAAGCAGTGGACATAGCCCAGCTTTGGAACACTGAAGATGGGTCAGAGAGTGGGGGCAGGGTGCCTGGTGAGGCCCCTCTCCTGGAGGTCCAAACAAGAGCAAACATAAGCTGTCTCAGCCTGAGTGAAGAGCCGGTGGGAGAAAGGCTGCTCACCAGGTAGTCTGCAGAGGAGGGTGGCAGGTCCCTTCTCTGTCCCCCTACTGTTGAATCCCCAAGCCTCAGCTTGAGAATGGGTGAATAGGGAGAGAGAGTAAAAAGATCTTAGCAATAAACCAGTTGTTTTAAGTGGGCACTTGGTTAAGTTTCTATCTCATGTGACAGTGAGCTGATGGGGCCACTGCAGAGAACCCAGAAGGAAAGGCAAGAGCTGCTCATCCCACCTGGAACTCCCCTGTCCAGACTCCCCAAAGCAGCCCACCAACCCAGAGTGAACACTAGAGTTCATACATGGGCCCCACATGGCAGGCCCCCCAGCCACTTGGACTGTTCCGTGCTTCTCTGCCCTGCTCCCTCTGCTCCTCCTGCCTGGGCTAACGTCCTCACCTCCTTCCAGCTGTTGCTCACATTTCTCCTCCTGTCAGCCCTGATTTCAGCTCCTCGGTTCTCTTATGCTGCTCAGCCTGCTCGTTTTCCTCCTTCTACCATATTCTATATCTCCGTATTTTCCTGTGTATCTGCTTCATTCTGTAAAGGTGGAAATTCCAGGGAGGCAGGAATCTTTGTCTGCTTGGTTTTCTTATTTATCCCGAGCACCCAGAACACTGTCTGCTGCACTCCTGATGCTCAGTAAAAATCCGTTGGAATGAAGGAGTGAGTGAAAAAAATGAACAAAGGAGAAAAATGGATGAGCAAGAGAAAGGCAAACAAGACAAGACAAACTCGCTCAGAGAATCAGTCAGAGAAGATGAATAGCCACACAGTCTGTCCTGTTAGGAAATATTGACTCACATTTTCCAAGTGTTATAGTTCCCCTTTTATGTTAATTTTGTGCTATTCTCGGAAGCCTTTATTTGGTTTGATGGATTTTACGATTCAGCTGGCATTGTCAAAACTTGAAATGCACTAGCTGTTAGTCTTTAATGTTATCATCAACTCAGATTGTGAACGTTTTCCCCAATTTATTTTTAGAGCCTAGATTCAGATTTATCAGATGGACCAGTCACTGTACAAGAATTTATGGAGGTCAAAAACGCTCTAGTGGCTTCTGAGGCCAAAATACAGCAGCTAATGAAGGTGAATAACAACTTGAGTGACGAGCTGAGAATTATGCAGAAAAAGGTAACACATTCATAAATTGCCAGGGTGACTGACTCTTTCATCCTGTAGTATAAGGAAGAAGCGCAGGCGTGATGCTTGTGGCCAGAGGAAAGAAAAGCATTTGTTATAATAGAGCTAAAAATCCTTGGGCCAAGCTGTCGATTTGGAAGCAGAATGTGTTTGGATATTTCGATGAAGATTTCTTTGATATGAACTATGAGGGGGCTTCAAAAAGTCAGTGGGAAAATAGAGTTCAAAGAGAATGGAGTTTTTCCACGAGCCTTTGGACGCCCCCAGAGTGAATTTTCCAAATAGGAGTATTGGTGTCAGTTCAGTAACCCTTGCACTGTTCTGTGCTTCCTGGGAGCCTGGGGGCTACTGCCTGGAGGTTTTTCTTCCCGTTGCTAGTTCTCAAGAATAATCACTCTGGGAGGACAGACCAGAACACGTTGGACAGGACTCTGCTTTTGCTGTGTAGTTTTGTTCTAAATGGTTAGTCACTTCCACCTGGGCAACCTCATCCCACTTCTCTGCTTGATTTTTCACCAGTACTTATCACTTGTTGGTGGTGTCCTCAGAGCCAAGAGCCGGGTCTGCCACACAATAAGTAGGTTCTCAATAAATATGTGAAGATACTCCATTCATATTAGCGAGAACTATAGGCTAGTAAGAAACAGTCCCATTTGTTCAGCATTTTTTCATTCAGTACCCTTTAAGAAAGAAATACATGACTGTGTTAACCCCCAAAAGGAAATATGGCCAAGGATATAGCAAGCATATACTTGAGGGAGATTCTGGATGCACTTCTTGATGAGAATGCTATGAAAAGGAAGTTGACTTTTTTTTAAGTGATGGCTAGGATTTTATAGATATTGCTCTTATTTGTTTAATTCTCTTCAAAAATGTGATTCTGCACAGTTCCCTTAGATAGAAATAAAACAGTGTATCTGCCTTTATACTGTGATTAAAGAGTGATTTGTTTCCTTTTCATGAACTGAGGACATGGTGCCTCTCCTTGTGTGGTCAGCCGCTTTGCAGAGATGCTTCCTAAAGGAGGGAAGTAGACCTTCACCAGAGATTTGGTCTGGGACCTTCTGAGATAAATGGCTACCTTACCTACAATAGAAAAGAAAGAGAATCTATCAGACTCTACACAGACCCACAATGTTAATCAGATAGTTCACTAGAATTAGTTCTTGCTGTTCCAAGAACCCTCAATCTGTGTGCCCAGCGCCATCTAGGACTGGCATTGGCATGCATCTGGGAGCATGGCTGACTGGGCCTGTACCTCCCAGGGCCAGCATGCTTGCAGCAGCTTACCTTTCATTGAAACACAAGGTGTACTTTGCCCTAACAGACAAGATTTGCATTTTCTCTGTCTTTTCTGAAATACTTTTTATTTAATGGATCATAGTTTGTCCCACTAATTGAACTAATAATTTTGTTGACAAATTTTTTTTCTGAAACATGCTGACTTTGCCATTGCCCATCAGTCTGCTAAATACCACCTTTTTTATTCTAGAGAGCTGCTTTTAGTATTTGGTGATCAGACTCACCAGAAATAACCTTGTGTCTTTGAGAGCAAACCTCTTAGGCTTCTTTAAGAATCTTAATGCTGAAGGAAATGATTTGCCATTGCTCATTGATCATCTCTTCCATTCTTAGTATTTGGTGATCAGACTCACCAGAAATAACCTTGTGTCTTTGAGAGCAAACCTCTTAGGCTTCTTTAAGAATCTTAATGCTGAAGGAAATGATTTGCCATTGCTCATTGATCATCTCTTCCATTCTTAGAAATACTTTTTGTTTCTGAGCCTATTGAATGATTTGTAACTTCCTATTTCCTGTGACACTCTTTCCAAACAACAACAACCAAAAAAGGGTAGCCTGGTCATTATTGAGATAAGTACCCTTAAAATGTATCCTTTCTAAATACACAGGACTAAGACTTTAAAAACCAAGATCTGGAACTTGGCGATCATCAGAATACATTCAAACAAAATCTGGGCTGGAGGTTTTAGAGGCATGAAAAGTATTGAGAGTCCAATTTCAAGGGCTGGCCATGTTAAAAGCCTGTAACACAGCACATGTCCAAACACACTGGTCAGTTAGTGTGGGCAGCCCTTCAGCCAGGTTCTCATTCTTTGGACCTTGGCCATTCTACTTTAGAACATGTGTCCCTCTGATAGTTTTGACAGGTGCTTTGTGCTTGTCTGGATCCTAGTATATAAGAATTTTCAGTGGCTGCTTGCCACTGTGCAGTTCTTCTTTCTTTGGAAAGGGAGTCTCAGACAAAAGTCTTTATGGCATAGTAGCGAGCATCCCTTAGTAGATCACTCTTGGAGAAATTGGGTTGAACGGGGGAGTCACACTGTCACAGAGCTTTTGAACAGTTCGTATAAAGTATGTAGTGTTCATTTATTTTGCAAAGATGTAGTGATTCTATTTCAAAATTAGGTAAAGTTTTTGTTTTTATTTAATAACAAACTAAGTAGTGTGATTTGTATCTGATCTTTCACATTTAACAGTTGCTTGGAAAGGATGCTAATTAATGAAGAGGAGCAGCTCCTATTGGTGTATTTGTCACAGATTGGTGCTTTCTTAATAAAAACTAAAAGTAACTCCTAACACTGAATGGGTGTGCTACTGAGAAAGTTATGATCTTCTGGCACAAATACAGTTGCTTGGACCTAAACATTGTCACTGGTGGGGAACTTGGTCAGATTTTACAATCACTGTCAAAGTGTAGACAGCTGAACTCACACCGTACAGCTTAACAATTGTCATGGAAGATGAAGGCGCACCAGAGCGGAGAGGACTTGGTGCAGAGTGGACTCCGTTCATTGTGTTTAACATGGCAGATGTAAAGAGTAACATGAATCCTTGCTGACCCCTTAACTCTAATCCACCAAACATCATGAAGCAGCCTGCATGTGAGGAATGGAAAGAGCATTCAGGGCTTCCCTGTGACAGCCTCTAAGATGGGGTGGTGCCAGGCAGATTAGAATGCTTGAAGCCAACACTACCATGGTTGTGTTTCTGTGTGACAAAGCCCAAGGAGAGAAAGGCCCAAAAGTCCAGCCCCAACTGAAAGATGATCAAGCACCAGAGGGAAGCAAGCATGCTACGTGGAACATTCAGATGAAGATATAAACTTAGTTTTGTAGGCCTACAGTTTTCTTCATGAGATGTTAATATATCCAAACTTGCCATGATTTGATTCCCTCGATTTAAACAAACAAACAAAAAACATGCTAAATTGTTTGGAATATTAAGAGTATTATGTAATAAAAACTTGTTGATCATAATTCTTCTTGTGAGCTTTTTGGAAAGCAGTAGCTAATCTAATACTTCATCCGCTGAACTCTGCTGTCTTTCTTGCTTTTGCAAAGCAACCCTGGTTATCTCTGTGCTGCTTCCATAGTGTCTGCTGTAATTTTTGGCATTTGTTACTCACTTAGGACTCATTTGAAAAGCAAGTTACCTAAGTGAGGTTGTAGTAGTTTCACGCTCTTGCTTGAATCCAGCCGTAGAGTAATCCAGAGTGCACCTTGTGTACAAACATTTCCCAGCCCATCCCCTGCCCCATGCCAAAATTTTAAGAGGTTAGTCATCTGCCTCTAGTTTTCACAAAGTTCAAAGTTACAATTTTCCCACACCCCGAAATTAAACTCTTTCATTTGCTTAAGTGATGAAGTGAGTTGATTGTCGTTCACTCTAGAAGAAAGGATTTTTGTTGGTAGCTGCCTTTTGCTCTCAGCTCAGCTAACTGTAACTGTTCTTATTGTTAAAGCCAATAATTGTATTCATTTAGTTGGTGTTTGCTTTTTCTGCTTGCTGTAGAAAAACACAGTCCCATTGCCAAACATGTCTTTCAGCTTCAAACACTCCAGAGTGAAAATTCGAACCTCAGGAAACAGGCCACAACCACTATATATCAGGTGCAAACTGGTTCTGAGCATACAGACACTTCCAACCACTCTTCCTTAAAGCGACGGCCATCCGCCCGGGGCAGTAGGCCCATGTCCATGTACGAGACGGGATCAGGGCAGAAACCCTATCTCCCCATGGGAGAGGTGAACCACCCCGAGGAGAGCAGAATGCGGCTCCAGCCCTTCCCTGCACACGTAAGTAATACCACTGGCATGTCTGCTGTGTACTCTCTGCCCAGACTGACCACTGCATCTCTTTCTGAACCTGCAGACCCCCACCACTCCACTTAGTCAAACCAGGCCAGGAGAATTGTCATTGTGTTTGCTGTGTTAATATGTCAACTGATGTGTGTGTGCTGTGTTCTCAGAAGTGTACAGGGCTCTGATGTGAAGTTCTGCAACAGAGCTGAGGATCTTGGCTCTTGCTCAAACCTCTCCCCTCCACTTCCTCCCATTAGCCATAATATTTTTCCCAACCAGCCAATGTTGAAACATAATTGTTGTGAAACTTCCTACCCCAGTTCTAAAAGCAAAAACCATAATGCTCACTAGCAGAAGGGGAGGTATCATCTTCCTCTAGACCAATGGGGACGTGCGCCTTTCTGGACGGGAGACGTGTCTTTTTAGCTTCTCCCAGGTCAGTGTGTGTGGCCAATGTCTTCAGGGCCAGGCTGGAAACAGCCTCTGCCCATGTGGTCTATGTGCCTGCTGGCTTAGCTTCTGCTTCCTTTTCATGAAGAAGGTGTTACTGGCTCCTTTCATAAAAATGACATGTGAAAACTCAGCGTCAATTTTACAAATGTTGTACCCCAAAATTGTATTCTGTACCAGGGTGCTAACCATTTTATTTAATGTTACATATTATGTTGTGAGGTTTTAAAATACTTTTTTTGGATTGGCTTGTTATTTTTAAAAAATCTATATTTGAAAAATTGTTGCAGATATTTTAAACTCCTATGTATTGTTTTTTTCTTCCAAAGAGTAATTATCTGTTTTAATACCTGTAAGTTATTATTTCAGGATAAAGAAGTTCAGAATCTTATATTTGTATAGTTGAAAACAAGCATTAGGAAAAGCAACTTTTGTTAGTTTTCAGCATATACTTTATTTTAAAAAACGTTGAGTGTAAAGATGTCAAAGTACTACAAAAGTGTTATATACAAGAGAGCTTCATAAAGTTCTTAGAAAAATCATGTTATCTTTTAATTCCATTTTTTTTTACAAACTTTTTGTAGCACCCTTATGCCAAAAGAATGGACTGATCTTGTATCAACTTAAAATCATTCTTGTAGCATTTCGTTTTGTATTTTCAATCCTGGTTATAAAGAAAACTTTTATTTTAGGCTATACATTTAACAACATTTAGTGCGCAGCTGCTAGCCAAAAGGTTGGTAGTTTGTACTCACCTAGTGTTTCCATGGAACAAAGACCTGGTCATCTGTTTCTGTAAAGATGACAGACAGCCTAGGAAACCCTATGGGGCAGTTCTGCTCTGTCCTATAGGGTTACCGTGAATGGAAAAATCAACCTTGGTGGCACCATGGCTTAAGCACTTGGCTGCGGAACAAAATGGTGATTTGACCTTACCAGTTGCTCCATGGGAGAAAGCTGAAGTATTCTGCTTCTGTAAATATTATTGTCGTTAAGTGTTGTCAAGTTGGTACTTGACTCAAAGTGACCCTGTTTATGGGGTTTCTGAGGCTGCAAATCTTTGCGGGAGCAGAAAACCTATTTTTCTCCCATGGAGCTTCTTGGTACTTCTTCATGGTCCAGTGCTTTTCATACAGAGCCATCAGGCTTGGGTACCCTCTGCGGCAGTTTGGCTCTGTCTCGTAGAGTCACTTTGCATTCGAATCAACTTGATAGCAGTGGGAGAATGGTTATGAGTAGAAAAGGGATTTGATGGCACCCAACAACCACACGCATTTTGAACTGATTAACAGATTGTGCTTACCTTGTCCTGTATAGAAAAATAACCTGATGGGAGGCACTTCATTAAGGACTGAGACCTCTTTGGGAGTCCATCACCTGGACTGTCTTGGAGATCAACATGAAGTCTCTTTCTCAGAGATTCTGAAATTTCTGGCCTACCCTAAAATGGTGTGGGGTTTTTGCTGCTGCTTTTATTGAGGGAGCCTGGGGTGGGGGAAGCCAAATTCTGTGCCCAGTTTTTGTTTGTTTTTTGTTTTCCCGAGTGTGTTTCTCTTTCCCTTTCTAGACCGGGAGGAGTGCGTTTGTGACCTCCTCTTCATCTCTGCCTTCCTTCCCCTCCACACTCTCCTGGTCAAGGGACGAAAGCGCCCGAAGGGTTAAGTACATTCTGGATTGATTGCTCTCTGGAGAAGGCAGCAGTGCTCTTGGGCGCTTTGTGCTTCTTTCTTTGGCCCTCTGCTCCCTGCCCTTCGGTCCTGGTTCTGCATGAGGCCCAGCTTCCCTCCTAGTTTCTCACAGCACCGTGAGCACAGACACGCACGCACGCAGGCCTGTTGGGACGCCTCAATTTCATCTAACCCCACGCTGCTAAGATATACCTCACACTTAACAATGTCTGCGGATCACCCAATGGCACTGGTTCTGAACACACCATCTTTTTAAATACTTGGGAAAATTAGCTGGGTGCTTGTGACGTATTATCATCAGGAAATCCATCAAATTGGTTGAGTTTTGGTTATAGATCAAAACCAGTGTCTTTGGATTAGCTGAAGCCCTGAAATGTCATGCCTAGAGTTAAATTGTTTTTACCTCGGACTTATTTTATGTCAGCACCAGACTTGACAAGCTAGGCTTTTTCAGACCCTGTATCCCACATCACCACTGAGCCTGACAGTGGCTTTGGAAGTGTAATCAGCTATGATTACAAAGCTGTTCATGTGCATTAGTCAAGTCCAGCCTGCTGATATGTCATTTACGTTCTCAGTAATAGTATGTGATTCAGGCGAGCCCCTTTTGGAGTAGTCAAGCAACAGCTATTTATTAACCACCTCCTCTATGCACAGCCTGGTCCCTGGGTGGGGCCACAAATGTTGACAATTGAAACCCACCCAGCGGCTCCATGCAAGAAAGGCCTGGTGAACTGCTTCCCTAAAGATTACAGTCCAGAAAACCCTATGGAGCAGTTCTACTCTGTAACATGTGGGGTCGCCGTGAGTCAGAATCAACTCCATGGCAACAGGTTTGCTTTTCTATTTTTTCCCCTCTCTTTATATATGCACAGCCTTTTGGCAAATCAGTTCAGTGACTTCTGTGTCATGGTCCCTGATCCCAAGACACCATCAGTAAAATATACAGAAAAGGCCCATGACTGTAACCTGGGGGAGTAATGGGGAAGACCCGAGGCTGCGAAGATCTAAGTTCAGGTGCTGACTCAAAACCTTTTATGGAAAGGGAGCATAAAGAAGGTGAGAAACGGGAAGTTCAGTGTGGGTAGAGGGAGCTCCTTTATAGACATAAATGTGGGATTTGCTCGAGGCCTTCATCCATTCCCTCTGCGTCTGTGGAGTGGTGTAGAAGCAGCCTTTCCCATTGTTCATGCCTTATGGCACTTGACAGCACTTTTGTGGTCCTTTTCTTGCCTTAGAAGGAATATATTAAAAGGAACTCTTGATATGTAGTACTTAAAATCTTTTTGGGTTCTGAACTTGATTTGTAATGTTTTTATTATATTCCAGTTCAATTCTGGGATAAAGAAATAAATAGTAATGAAATATCCAACTTGAGACTTTGTTGCAACCATTGTTGCAGAAGAGTCAAGGAACATCTTTTTGCCCACTGAGATTGGTTTTTGTTTTCTAATGTTTGGTCATTTTGAAAATCATTGTAGGACTGTTTGCTGAGGCAAAGGGGTGTTTAAACTGATAGTCCTGATTGTTTCTAGCAGCTTCATCCGGGGTTTAGACTGTGTCTGTAATCAGAGACTGAAAACTCGTTAAATAAACTGAACCAGTACCAGCTAAAGGTAACTTTCCTATTAACAGCTTTGAAAGAACAGCACTGTTAACCGATAGAGCTTGGCTCCATGCATGTTTACAATAACATTCCTAAAATAAAATGCTGGCTAACTTGAAATCCTGTACATACGCTTTTGTGGACAGTGATGAAGTGTAAGTAACAGGTGTCCTGGGTGGCTGCAGCTATATTTTGTTTTCTCTCCTTGAGAAACAGTTCCTTCCTGCTGTCATGAGGTATATGAGTGATTACTTTTCTAAAATGCTTATACGAAACATGGTACTTTTAATGGCTGTGGGGTAATACTCTTGATTTGTGATGATCAATCTTATCTCAAGGAAAGCAAAAAGACTAAAACGTGGAATTTTCTGAGTTTAATTATGTTTTCTAGATTTTCCCACTGGAGCAACTCTGAAAGAATTTTTCCAGTCTAATTATTTCATGCAAATTTTTTACATTCTGTGTGTATGTGTATGTGTGTGTATGTGTTAAAGGCAAATATAAAGATTAGTCTAATGCATCCTGTGAAAGGTGAGACTTTGAAAGGTGTGGCCCTTGCATTGGACACAGTGCCCCCTTGGTCTTCCATCTGGACTTCTAGAAACATTCACATACTCATTCCTTCCCCAAACCAGATCACAGCAAGGCAGCAAGTGAAGCGTAACCACTTCAGAGACAAAGGGACCTTAAACCTTAAACATTGTAGTTGATTTTGCAGAACTTAATTCTATACTCTCCTTGTGACTGGCAACCAACATTCTTATTAATTTGCCAGTTACATTTGAGTGGGTATCAATGTAAATTCATTATTATATTGTTGGAGCCCAGAGCAAGTGTTTCTTCTATCAGAGGGGCTGGTGCTGCAGAGAGGACTTTGAAGAAATGTGCTAGTAGACAGAGGAGGCAAGCATCTGCCCTAGGAGAGAAAAAGAGGCCACAGGGATAGTAAGCCAAACGTAGCCGGAACGAGAGATCTTCTGGCTGGTGGCTGCTGTACCGGTCTCCATAGGGCCTGCCAGAGGAGATAAGGCTGCATTACCGGTAATGAGCAAATAATCAGACCGGATGTAGACTGCTTAAACTGTCTGACTCTAAACCAGCCATTCTTTTGGATGATGCTGCAGGGGCTCTTTGTATTTAAACGAAGCTCTTTACATAAATGTTTTAACACCCTTTGGTGCAGCAGCTTTAAAATCCCTTAGTCACAGATTTTGATTGACTTAGATGAAATTTAGGGTGTCAGGCTGAAAATAGTGCATTTATATTTTGCAAGGTAATCAGTCTAGACTTTGAATCAGCCTCCACTAGCCTCTGTTCTGGATGAAGAAGTTCTCAAATACTATGGATATGATGATTATTGTTAAATGCCTTCAAGTTGGTTCCGACACATAGCGACCCTGTATGGGGTTTACAAGGAGCGACTAGTGGGTTTGAACTGCCGACCTTGAGGTTCAAACCAATCTTGTGATTGAGTGCTTATCTTACAGCACCACACCAGAACTCCATGGGTATGATGGATACCGAGAAGAAAAGATTTTAACTAAACCCTCCAAAGGTAACCTAACTTCTTCCAAGGAACATTCCGTCACCCCGGAAGGCCTTCTACTTGGCAGTGCTTTATCTTTTATAGTTTATATCTATATATACATGTATAGCTATACACACATGCACATGTACATAGATATATGTATATATATGATATAATTATAATACATAGTTGCTTAACTTCTGGCAAATGTGTTTTTTAAATGGAGCCCTAGGTGGCTTAACCACAAATGGTTAAACTGTGGACTACTAACTGAAAGGTTGGTGGTTCAAACCCATCCACACGCATCTCAGAAGTAAGGGCTGACCATGTGCTTCCCAAACGGCACAGCCTTGAAAGCAGTTCTGTGCTGCACACATGGGGTTGCCATGTGTTGGAACTGACTTGACAGCAAGTAACAACAACATTGTATTAGAGTTACACTTTGTTCATAGAGAGCTAAATGTGTGTGTGTTACCTGTGTGTTTATGTTTATTACAACAAGATCTTTTTATGAATTAGCCATTGAGCTAAGAAGAAAGTGGTATGAAGAAGGAAAGAAACCCATTTCTGGATCCATTGTTCACCTTTTCCTAAATTTTCAGTAAAAGGTGTGCTCTGGTCCCAAATGAGATCCGGAGTGTGAAGGCCACGTGGTGTTAACAGGTAATGCCCCTGGGGAAAGCGCTGGAGAATGGGCTTATGTTCTAAACTTACAGAGGCCACCTTTTCTGCCTTTCTTTTAGACGTCCAGGCTGGAGAAGCAGAACAGCACCCCTGAAAGCGACTATGACAATACTCCCAATGACATGGAGCCCGATGACACGGGGTACAGCTGCAGGAAGAGCAGGACTGGGCTGGCCTCAGACACCCAGCAGGCCTCAAGGGCACAAACAGTTTGTGCTCAGCTGCTTACTGAAAGATTGGCAGTTCAAACTCACCCAGGCAGTACCCAGAAGATAGGCCTGGTGACCTGCTTCTGTTAAGATGGCAGCCAAGGAAACTCTGTGGAGCAGTTCTACTCTGTAACACTGGGGGGCGCCAGGAGTCAGAATCAACTTAGTGACAGCTAACAGTCACAACCAGCCACAGCAGTAGGCCTTGGTTAGGAGAAGCCGTTCATCACAAGTTGTTGTTTTTAAGTGCCTTTGAGTTGGTTCTGACTTACAGCGACCTTGTATAGAGGTTCTTACACCATACATCTTTGTGGGAGCAGAAAGCCTCAGCTTTCTCCCATGGAGGCGGGTGGGCCTGACTGCCAACCTTGTAGTTTATGATCATACAGCACCACTGCTCCCATTCATCACCTACACCCCCTTTTTCCTATTTTCAGACCCATAAGGTCTTAGACTGTTAAGTGCTGGCGAGTCACAGCAACCCTGTATAGGGTTCCCAAGGAGTGGCTGGTGGGTTTGAACTACCACCTGGTAGTTCAAATGGACCTTGGGATGCAAAGCTTACACAACAGTATAGAATATTCAGGCATAAAGCCCAGTTTAATGTGTATCTATAGTCTGCTTAAATTTGGACCTCCACTTCATTTTTAAGTTGACATTAGGTTCCATTGGGCATTTGTACCCAAACAATTCGCTCTGCTACAGTGTTGGCTTTGAAAAAAGCCTTACCAGTGAGCCTCCTGCTGGGGAGAAGGAGAGATTACAGTATCAGCAGTGCATGCTATTTGCTACTACTAGAATCAGAGCAGCAGCTGAGAACACCTGTCATACTTAGCCACTTCTGTATTTTTCACAGATCAAGCAGAAAGGGAAGGCAGAGGAGCATGTTGTGGCTGGGTGATAGCTCCTCACCAAATGCCGCAGAGCCCCACGCAGCCCCCAGCCCCGCTCTCCCCAGCACCGAGGACGTCATCCGGAAAACTGAGCAGATCACCAAAAACATACAGGAGCTCTTGAGAGCGGCCCAAGAAAATAAACACGACAGGTGAGGGGAACTGGGAGACTCAGTAACCCGGAATTTTTTTTTTCCTCAGTTCATAAACTTTGAGGTCATTAAAACCTCAGGTTTACACATTAGGCTTAAGAACAAATTTGTAAACATTTTGGTCTTTTAACTTTTATTTGTAAACGGTAGAGTTCTTGATTATTCATCTGGTTGTGGGGTTCTTTGGGAATTATTGCCTCTAGAGATAGAATCGCAGCATATTAGGTAGTGATCATTTCCACTTCCAGATGGAAAGAAAGAAGAAGCCACCTTCAGACTTGGTTTTATTTCTTCCAGTCTCCACTGTTCCATGTCATCTATAGCTAGAGAAAAGGTTGCTGACACGAAGGGAGTCTTCAAGTGAACCTGATTTCTTACCTAGCTTGTCCACTGTTTGTGCGTGTTTAAACTTATAAGAAACAGGTGCTTTTCTTTTCATAAGAGAAGGACCTGTTACTCTGAACAGAGCCATCCTTCTAGAACAGCAAGGAGGCCAGGTCTGACTTCCTCTGGCTTCACAAGGGGGAAGAAGAATCGCACTCAAAACCAGCCCAACTCCAGTTCCTTTGAGACAGAGGTCAGGCATTCCTCCACCCTACAACCTTCTTTACCCTATTCTGATACCAACCATCTTCCCTCAGCACTCTCTGGTTCACATCTGGGTTTGATAACAGTTGTAATGGCCACACAGAATTCATCAATACTTGCAATTATGGGGCTTATTAGGGAAGTGAACAGGATATTCAATTCAGGGTCAGAAACAAGTCAGGATGCAGCAGTAGTTCACTGCAGGCATGCCTCATCTTGCCTTGGGCCTCTTAGCCATGTAGCCCCTCAGCCTCTGCCTTAGCAGAGGCAAGTGTTACAAAGCTCCTGTTGCCAGTCTGTAATTATACAAAGGGCACATTCTGCAAGCTAGCCTCCTGCCCCTAGACACTCAGCTTTACTCAGTCCATGGGCCAGGAAGCCTGCAGCTGCTTTGTCTCTCCATGCCGCTGCCCCTGCTGCCTCTCATGCTTCGCTCAGAGGTCTTTCTTGATGGTCCTAGGAACATCTGTTCCTGCTTCTGAGATGGCTCCTTTTAAAACTAGTGGGATAGCAAAAACTAACATGCGTTAGAGTCCTATACATACTATCTGCATGGTTCCACCCAATCATTTGGGGAGTGTGGTGGCATCCATACAATAAGCACTGGACTGTAAACCACAAGGTTTGTGGTTTGAGCCCACCAGCTGCTCTGTGGTAGAAAGATGAGTCTGTCTGATCCTGCGAAGATATAAAGCCATGGAAACCCTATCTAGGGCCACTATGAGCTGGCACCGACTTGGCAGCACTTAATAGCAACAGTGCAGTCATTTGGTGGGTGATCAGAAGACTTTGGTTAGAAAATGCGTGTCAGGTGAATTCACAGCACCACACAAACCCTGCAAAGTTACTTCTCACTATCAGGAAAGGGACCAGGGTTTGCTCTAACTTCTCTCTCCCTCTGAGAGTGACAGCTCTGGGAATTTCCTGTCAGTTGTAAACTGTCCTGTGTGACATCCTAGTTTTCACACACCACCCTGATGGAGATGTACACGCTGTTCAACAATAATCTCATTGAGTTTGAGAAAGCAAAAGCAGTTTGGTCCAAACCGAACACAGTGTCAGTCTTCTCATTAGGTCAGCAATGTTAGCACTTGGGTGAAGGACTTCTCATCATGCTTCAAACTGATGCAAGGAACACAGCGCTGTAGATTCTCTCTTGCCTCTGTTCCTTCCTGCTGCAGGAAGATGTGGCAGCGTCTTCTGTGTTCTCTCTCGTGGTCCTGGCCGCCCAGCTCTTTTCCCTTTTCTGCCCTGTAGAGAGGGGTGACCAGTGTTTAGTAAGAGTCCGAGTGAGTCTTCACAGGTGACCATTGGAGGCTCCTCAGAGAAGAGAGTTCCTACTTTCTCTGTCTCCTTTCCAAAAATCATGTAGCTACTTAGGTCCCTTTTCCTCCAGTGTCCAGTGTTTCCCTGCCTTTCTGAGTCGGGTGTGTCTGATCTGATTTGGTGAAGCAAAGTTCTTCACAGCTGTCCCAAGCACAATTGTGGTTTTGTTCTGTTAATGAAGAGTAGCCATTTTGATTTCTGCTTTCACATCTGGAGAAACTGCTGCACAGACAATTCATGACGTAGTTATCACAGTCTCAGAATCAGAAAACCTCAGGGATCTTTCTCCTCCCACACCAGCCGGGGGTTTTTTGTTATGCTTTTAACTTTTTATTGTGAATTGAATGAAGGTTTGCAAAACAGATCATCAGTTTTACATTCAACAAATCATACACTTTGTGTCATTAAAATGATTGCAATCCCCTCCATGTGCCATCAGTTAATGGTGGTGGTGGTATGCTCTGGAGTCAGTTCTGACTCATAGCGACTCTGCATTAGGTTTCTGAGGCTATAAATCTTTACAGGAGCAGAAAGCCTCATCTTTCTCCCACAGTAGTTTCGAACTGCTGACCTTGAAGTTAGCAGTCTGACTCGTAACCACTGTGCTACCAGAGCTCTTTTTCAGTTGTTGTTAAGTGCTATTGAGTCAATTCCAACCCATAGCGACCCTGTATAAGGTTTTCAAGGAGAAGCTAGCAAGCTTGAACTGCTGCAGTTCAAATGGCTTTGCAGTCTGGTGCATTAACCCACAGCACCACTACAGGACTCCCTAGTTAACAGTATTTACCTCTAATTACTTTAACTTTCATATTCTTCCCTTGATGTGTATATAGTCTTCCGTTACCTTCAGCTTTCCTGTGCCAACCTCCCTTTTGTTGTATATTGCCTTTTCCATTACCCAAGTTAACATGTCAAGCACATGTCAAGTTTTTGGCACTTTCAAGCAGCCTTGGTACCAAGAATAACTTTCTCTAGTGCTGTTTATCTCACTTCACATTTCTTCTCTCTCTCAAGTGTTGTGCTTGCATTTCAAACTCAAATAATGGGCTTACATAGTTACATTGACCACTATTAATACTATCTTTGATAGTTGTCAAAAATAAATAAATATCTGCCCCGAGGCCCTTTCTGGTTCCAAAGATTGTAATATGATGCCTCACGCACAATTTGAGAAGTTCCTTCTCTTGTTGTTTAAGATGCACAAATCCATTCAGTACATTTCATGATCTGATAAGTGTTTATTTTTAAGACCATGAGGGAATGATGGAGAGATTTCCATCATTAGTTCATTCTTTTGGTTTAAAACCAGAATGTTGTTGTTCCAGTTAAGTGCCGTCGAGTTGGTTCCGACCCATAGTGATCTTGTATAGGGTTTCCAAGGAGCAACTGGTGAGCTTGAATCAATGACCTTGCGGCTCAAATGATTTTGCAGTCCAACACATTAACCCACAGCACCACACCAGGACTCCAAAACCAGAATAGCTCTAGAAAATTTCTTTTTCATAAATTGTTCCATGCTTGATTAAAATCTCTAGTAATTTACATCTCCTAAGAAGGCCATTCCTTCTCTCATTCTCTCCTTGGTTGATCTGCCCATGATGTTCCTCCTCAGTAGACCCATAGCCCATGCCGACTCAGGCAAAGGCTAAGTCCTGGTTCCCTGGGCCAAGTGAGCTCCCAGAAGCCCCTGATCTTTCCACAGCCAGGCCCCATCTCCTGGGTCTCTCTGGCTGTCTCCCTACCTGTCTGTCTGTGCCTCTTTCTCTGTGTCATACGTGCACACGCATTCTCTGTCACTTTCTCTCTCTTTTATACATATGTATTCTGTCTTTCCAGAGTTTACTACATCTTATTCACGGGAAAATATCAATTTGAAGTTGCGAAAATAAACCCCCAAAAATGGATTTCCTGTGAGAGCCAAGGAGGTCTTTCTTATTTACCTGCCTGGGCTTGCTTTTGTGACTTGTCAGGGTTGTGAATAATATATAGTAAAGCCTAGAAAGACAGAAAATGTGTGCGTAGAAGAAAAGGTGACAAGAGAACATGTGTGTGTCTGTGTGTGAGACAGAAATTTCTTCGTATTGAATAAATGTTTCAGAGACATCCTGAGGAGAAATTTCTTCTCTGGGGGCAGGGGGCGTGTATTTCCGGGTAAAGTATAAGCCTCTCAGGTGAGTGAGATTTGAACATTCAGGTGATATCCGGGCCTGACCCAGAAACTGCTGTGGCTGCTGCTGCCCTTTTCTGAGCCAGATGGGTTGTTGTGCCCGCATATTTGCAAATTAAATACCTCCTCTGTGTTGTCATTTTTGCTAGTGCATAACTTAGTATATGATTCTAATTGCTCTCATAGGGAGCGAGCACAAGGCCATAAGGAAAGAGTAAAAGTCAGGATTTCCCATTGAAAGGCATTTTTGGCTAATAAAAATCATTCTCTTGGAATGTAACAAAGCAATTTAAATGTAGTGCATCTTAATAGTTTCGATGCTACCTTTTTTTTTTTTTTTTTTAACTGTTTCATTGTGAATTATGTGATAGTTTACATGGAAGAACATTAGCTTTACAGTCATCCTATCGTATATCGTTTCATTGCCATGGTTACAGTCCCCTCCGTGCATCATCAACCAACCAAAAGATATACCCAGCAAGCCTGTCCCTTGGTCATCAGCAAACAGCCCCTCTCCCTCTCTGGGTCTAGAGTTCCCGGCCATTCCATCTCTCCACGTCATCATCTCTGCCTCCATCTTGGGTGTCACTTTCTCTGGGTAGGGTCCCATACTCCATTCTTCTCCCTTGATAGTCCCAGGGACCTCCACTCCTGGCCTGCAAAGTCAACCACTCCCCTCCTTTTGCTACAAAACGTTCTACCTTTACATTTCCAACCCTCTCAGTCATGATAGCACTTATTCACTATTGTGCCACATGAGTGCTGTCCCCATCTCCTTTCATCAGTCCCGCCCAGACAGATTGGTTACTACTCAGTGGAGATTCTACCTTCCTCCGCACCCTCTGGATCTAGGCTCCCTCTTGAAAACTTGTAAGCTGGTCACCTTTTGCCTTTGTAGGATGCTACCTTTCTTGCAAAGATGAAGAACAGAGGTTGATTATGACAATTTTTAAGCAGAAGACAACCTCATGGTTTTTTTTAAAAAAAGGTAGAAAATGTTAATTGATGGCTTTGAAGGCTAGGGTAGATGTGGAACAGCACTGGGGTCTGTATCTTGGGGAAAAAATGTGAAAATGAGGCCACACGGTTCTTGTGTAAGGGCAGACATTTGGCAGATTTCCGAACGTGCTGGAAACCTTATAAGGCATCCTGGATGCCTGGTGTGGCGCTGTAGGATAATGCACTGGACCATAAGGTCAGTTTGAACCACAGGGTTGGTGGTTCACTTACTCCATGGAAACCCTATACAGGTCGCTGTGAGTTGGAACTGACTCAACGGCACTTCATAACAACAACATAGGGCATCTGGGGTCATGTTCAATCTTCCTATAAACAAACTCTTGCTGGCGGTATGGTAACTAGAACTGTCACTTCAGGCCGTCATCACTTTTTACTTGACTGTCCTTGGTAATGTGTACTGCTCAGGGCAGAAAGCCAGCTTCCAAGGATCTTAAATCAGCCCCATTTGATACTGTCACAGTACTAAGAAAAAGACTTCTAGATTCTTCCAGTTCCCCTCACTTAAGTTCAGAATAACAATGGAAAGAGGCTGGTGACAATGAAAGATGCCAATCTGTTGGAGAGAACCTTGAGTTCAGCCTCCTCCTAGCAGCTTTGTGACCTGCAACACATTCTTTACCTCTCAGGAAGAGGAACGTGAGAACAGTTCCAACCTCAGAGACTGTTGCGACAGTCAAGTGAGTTCTCTGCGGAGTCAGAGCTTGGCTTCTTAAGCATTCCATCTGGTGATGCTGTCCTAAGAGGCCAGGCAAAGGAAGGATGAAATAAGCAGATGTCTTGCACTTGGTTTTCTCAGAACCCGATAATTAGTAGGGACCAGTTGACCCCCGCTCACGGCCCCCCAGGTTTGTCAGAATAGAACTGAGCTCCAGGTAATTTTCAATGGCTGCTTTTTCCTAAGTAGGTCTCCATGCTTTTCTTCTAGTTGCCTGTGGGTGGATTTAGCCCCAGGGTAGTCATTTGAACCACCCTGAACTGCCTCCACTTTATTACCAGCAGTTAAGGGGCAGCTTCTGAAAAATTAGAGAAGTGTCTGAGCAAGTACAGAAAGCCATCCTCAGTGTTTTCTCCATGCAAATATTTTGATTTTCCGTCAATTCAAATGCCGTTTAGAAGTGCCCATTGTTTAAATGGGACACAAATGTTAAGGTGGAGACTCCATTATAATGTTATTTCAGTCTTTTATTTTTTAACTTCTTTGACCTTTTACATGAAAATCTTTCTGTTTCAAGAAATTAGGACGAGCAAACACATGGGAACTAAATCACCAACTTGAGGAGATGTGGAAGTCTTCCTAGCTGCTTTGAGGTCGTACCTTGTCACTAATGTACCTTTGGCTGCATTTCCTCCCTGCAGCAACTTGGGATAAAAGATGGGAAACTGCTTTAGGGCCAAGTATCTGCAGAGGGGCCGGTTGAGGCCTCAGGCCTTTCATTAAGGCGTTGCAGATGGAAGCTGTGCTTGCCCCTGAGAACTTTCAGCCTCTGAATGATTTTTACTGCTATTGACTAATAACCTCTTCGATATTCTTGCAGCTATGTTCCCTGCTCAGAGAGGATACACGTAGCTGTTACAGAAATGGCAGCATTGTTCCCCAAAGTAAGTCACTTCCTACTTAGTTAGTTCCAACGCTTTGAAATGAGCCACAAGTAATTTCTTTGTGACTCTTATGGTGACATTTTTTAGCACATAGAGCTTTAAGTACCAGTCACATATTTTTTGTTCTGTATGAATATTGGCTTTAATAGGTATGTACAAGTCAATTGGTAAAGACAAAACATGAATAGAGTATAATTGTAGTTGGAATAATTCACCCAGGTGAATTTTCAAAGTATTAATAGCACATACTCAAAATTAGCACACATAGTACTAAAAATTACACTGTATGCCATGTGATCTTTGATCAGCACACTTCAGCATCTCTAGCCTGTGGATTATAAAGTTTCCACTTGGAAAAACGCATGACAGAAAGCCGCCTTTCAATGTGTGAAGCACCTTGAGTTGTTTTCAGAAGAATATTTGTCTCTTGCCTCTTGTCTGCCCTCTAGTTCATGGTCCATGACTGTGTTTCTCTCTTTAGAAACCCAAGTCCGACCTGGTGAGAACTTCCCTCCGATTACTAACATCCAGTGCCTACCGCCTCCAGTCCGAGTGCAGGAAGACCCTCTCTGGGGACTCTGGCTCCCCCACGGACATTCAGCTGGTCACTCAGCAGGTCATCCAGTGTGCGTATGACATCGCCAAGGCTGCCAAGCAGCTGGTCACCATCACCACCAAAGAGAACAACAACTGAAGGGCAGAATGGGGTCCTTTCTATTTTCCAGGCTTTTTAATGTCTTCTATCAAATTTAGACATGGACCTTTTCTGATTTTTACAAAAAAACAAGCATTTAATGACCGTTTAAACTTTTTAAAAGAAAGCTCAGTATTATTTTTGCATGTTTTCTAACAAATTTTCCACTATGAATTTAACCCACTTGCCTTACTTTGTGCCTGTTTGCCAGTGTAATTTTCTGATTTTCTGTTGTGTCGTCAGTGACTGTTAACGATCACGTGTATCCAAAAGCATCGCTTCATCATTGAAAAGTTTGTTAGGACTGTTTCATCCCTTACAACGACCTGCCTGTGGCTGAAACAATGGACAAGGTTTTTAGTAAAACATTTTCTTGAAAGAGTTGTGTTTAAAAAAAAAAAAAAATCAGCATTATCTATTCGCTACCAACCATTGATCAGTAAGTACATTTTCCAATCTACTGAAAGATCTCTTAAATTCGGGCTCTCTCCAAGCACGGGGTGTAGAGAAGAATGACTCTGCCGCTTTCTACAAATATGAACCGTCACTCTTGGAAGGAAACAGTTCACCGCTCTGATTTCCTGTGCTGCTCTGTCTTGTTACATGTTCATTTAAAGTTTTTTACTTGCTCTTCTGTGTCTATTTTGCTGTCGTCTCCTGGAGTCTCCACAGAGTCTGATAAAGCATCCATTTCCACATTGTGTCTGTTTGGCCACATTCAGGATGGGATGATGTCACTCTGAGTCAAGTGCTCTTTCAGCCTAACTTTTTATCCAAAACATGCAGCAAAGAGGAGCTTGGGCCAAATAAACCAAAACAAATTATTTACCACCCACCCAGATATCACTGCCAGAAACTGTCAGGAAAGAATCATCTGGTGTTGGATGGCGCCTTGCATTAAAAATGCAGTTACTCCTTTAACCTCTTAAAAGTTTCTCACATGACCTGCTTTACATTTTGGCTCACCTTTAAGGAATTCTTATAAGGTAAGGTTTCTACAATCATCTAAGTTTGTTTCTCTCTCATTGCCTCATCAGTACTTAAAAAAATAAACATCAGCTTCCCCAAGCTCCTTCGGGAGGTGTGATCTGGCTGACAACAGCTCTTCCAAAACTGAGAGAGAATAGAGTTTTACATGCAGGAACATGTTTTTTAAATCACTAAAAAGACTTTCCTTGTTCTGAATGTTAGAACCTATCTCTCTCCCTGCTCGCTGCAGCAGTTCTGACCTGGTCCAGAGGGGCTGGTGACGGAGGAGAGGCTGCTGGGGAACCTTGGAGGAACATGGGCCTGGGGCTGGCAGGGCTTTGTGTCTTCAAAAGACACCTAAAATACAGACTTTTTCTTGCCATCTCTCCATCTTTAAAAGTTGGCAACTAATCCACACATATCCACTGAACACGTGTGTGGGAAGCCATGGTTGTTAGGCTGTCAGCTTACAGGCTCGCCACTGGGCCCTATAACCCCTACAGGGGACTGGCTTCCCCTGGTCACAGCCCGGCCTTGGTGCCTGACTTGCAAAGCTGCTGCTAGTTCTCTTTGAAATCCTGCATCTGCCCCACATCAGGTGTTTACCCACTTAACAAAAATCACATTGGTCCGAGTTTAAGAGGTTCCTACTGTCACAAAACCATGGATTCCAGAACAACTTGATAGCTTGAGCATCCACTGTCCTGGGAAGAGCATCATGGTGGTACATGGTTTACTCAGCTGCGTGTGTAGGCACTTTAGTTGAGTAAAGGGGCCACATCTCTGAAAGACTCGTCCCACTTGTTTGCTTGCACAGCCCTTAGTGCCATGTGATTGTCCGGTGCTGAGACAAGGTCTACCTTAGGTTCAAGCACCATCTGATACCTCTTTCTGTATGTGTCATGTCCCTAATGGTTCCTCTTTCTTGCAAGTACCCGCCCCTCCTATTGGACTTGCTTAGGTCCTTGGGACAGGCCGGGGATCACCAGAGAGAGTGGGTGTCCATAGAGGCTTCTGAGAAATGCATTGTCTACAGCAGGTGAATGCTCAAGGACATGGACTTCGTCCCTTGAGAGAAAGCCAAGGAACAGGAGAGTCAACAAAGCACATCTAGTTGTGACGATGCTACACTCAAGTTTTTGCTCTGGTAACTCACAGGGCCTCCTTGGCAAAGAATTTTCCTCTCGTTGAGTGCCCTCACATTTCCTTAGCTGGTCCAGAGATTGTGTGTCTGAGGCTCTGCAGTCCTGCGAACAGATCCTACCTTCCTTGTCTGAACGCTCGTTCTGGAGGGCCGCCTTTTGCACATGGTCAGAAGAGGAATGTCTGTGTCCTGTAAGTCATTTTTCATCCTTTATTCTCAAATGCAGCCTCTCCCCCAGAACTTGGTGAGGCAGAGGGACTCTTAAACTGGCACAGCTCTACCCTGAAGGGTCTTTAACTAAAATCATCTGCTGTGGAAATTGTTCTTATTTGCCAAAGAACAACGAGTTGGGCCCAAAGATCAAATACTATAGCATTTTATAAAATTAGAACCCTAAGTGTACAACTCATGAGCTGTTAAACAACCCATTCAGTGATTGAAACGGTAGAACTGAGTGTGAAACTAACCATGTTTTCGTCCTCAACAACGTCCATGAGCTTTCCAATAATACGATTTTATTTCTCTCCTTGCCCCTGTGAAGGCGACCCTTTTACAAAAGAATATGCTGCATAGGAAAACGAAATGCCTTTTACTCAGAACTGTTTTATCCATGTCATTCTTTCTATACTTATTTTTCATTTTTATTGTACATTCTATTCTTGTAATTAATGTACAACCCTTATGCAATGTAAAATGGTTTTGGAATTTGCCTGCAAGTTATGCAATAAACAGGCGCTTCCCATGTCTTTGTGGACAAGGCTGGTTGTTGTTAGATGCCACTGAGTCTGTTTTCAACTCACAGCAACTGCGTGACAAAGTAGAACTGCCCTGTAGAGTTGCTAAGCTGTCATTTTTACAGAAGCAGATCACCAGGTCTTTCTTCCGTGGAGGGTGTGACTGGGTTCAAACTACCAACAGCTGAGAACTTAACCACTGTGCCAGTAGGGCTCCTGGGCAGTGCTTTGCTCCCCACCAATAAGTGACTGGGAAGGTGCTGTGCAGTAAAAGGTGTGAGGAACCTCTTGTCACACAGTGCCATCTTTGAGAGGAGACCTCCCTGGGAGCCTTTTTGCCCTCTTGAGTTTGGCGAAGGACTCTTAAATCCTGCCATCAAGATACGCCTTCCTTGTATCTTAGGATGCATTGCTTCCTAAGTTTGAATTTGAAATTCATGGAGACCACCGAGCACAAGTGTATGCCTTTCTTACTCTCAGATTGTGGGGTGAGTTCAGTCTGTTATTTCCAGAGAGAGAGGCCCATTGGGCAGATGGATATGGGGGCACATGGATGGTTTGTCAGGGCTATCTGCAGTCTCCACAGTCCCTAAGACTATCATCTGGACAGGTGACTTGAGGCTCTTCTCCCGAATTGAAGAAGGGGTGGGGAGGATAGGGTCTGATCTTTCAGGTGGAAGTCAGGGAAAGTTGGATTTTCCTCACCAGGGTCAGCTGGTCTGGAGGATATTCTTGAGGATCCAGAGCCAGCAAGTCAGATGTGTGCACGAGCAGTGGTTCTCCACAAGCCAGTGTCAGACATGGGTGCTGGGGTCTAAGGGAGAACCGGAAAGCTGCATTGCTAACAAGTGCCCAGGTGATGTGGATGCTGCTGGTCCCAGGGCTATGTGAGAACCACTTCCCTCACCCGCCCGTTCTCAGCCTTCTCACCACACAGCTCCTTACCTTGATGTTAAGTGGGCTTTTATATAATCATTATAATGAGAGCTAACATTTACCAACTGTACTTTGTGTTGGGCACAGGGTTAAGTGCTTTACCTATATTAGTGCATTTCAATCCTCCCTCTCGCCCTATAAAGTGGTTGTTGTTCCTGTTTTATGATGGGAAAACTGCCACTTAGGGAAGTCAAGTCTTACATCAGGGTTGGGGAGTGGCCCCTTTGACATACGCAAAATACGGTGTATTTTCTGTCTAGTCAGGTGGGGAACTTTTGTCAAAATTTATAACATCATTTGTGGGCCATACAAAATTACCAGCTTAAAAATTAGCCTGCTATATTTGCTCAAACAGTTAACTCACCCCTAATATGATAGCTGCCATGGGCTATCAAAAGAACCAACAGATCTGTGTTGGAAGAAGTGTAGTCAGAGTGCTCCCTGGAGACCAGGATGGCCAAGCTTTGTCTCTCATACTTCGGACACATTGTCAGGAGGGACCAGTCGCTGGAGAAGGATATTGTGTTTGGTAAGGTGGAGGGTCAGAGAAAATGAGGAAGATCCTCAATGAGATGGATTGGCCAAGTGGCAACATTGATGGACTCAAGTGAGGCAACAGAAGTGAGGTTGGCCCAGGATCGGGCAGTGTTTCGTTCTGCTGTGCATAAGGTCGTTATGAGTTGGTGTCGATTCGATGGTACCCAACAACAACAACAGTATGATAGCTGAAACTGCAGTTGCCTTGGTAAGGCCAGACCAAATGATTTCATGGGCCTTATTTGGCCCATGGGCCGGACCATTCCCCATCCCTGGTCTAGTTTGTCTTCTTACTCCTTGTCAACAACCCTAGATTTGGTGCACTAAACACCAAGGACTGAATACCAAACCAGTGGGATGACGTAAAGTATATCATACATGAAGAAAGCAAAAAGTCATTAAAAAGACAGGAAAGAAAAGACAAAAATGAATGTCAAAAAGATTCTGAAACTGGTTTGAGTGTAAAGAAGCTAACGTGACTAGAAGAATGATGAAGTAAAAGCTAAACAGAACATTACAAAGGACGACTTGAGAAGATAAAGTCAAACATTATAATAACTGTGCAAAGACCTGGAGTTAGAAAAACGAAAGGAAGAGCCTGCTCAGCATTTCTCAAACTAAAATAACTGAAGAAAAAATTCAAGCCTTGAGTTATAACACCAAAGGATTCTATAGGCAAAATATTGGAAAATGCAGGAAAAAAAAGAATTTGTCTACATTCAACCATTTCAAGAGGTAGCATATCCTAAAGAACCAATGGTGTTGAAGTCAGCCCAAGCTGTACTGAAGGCACTGGTGAAAAAATAAGTCTCCAGGAAGTGACAGACTACCAATGAAATGTTCTAACTGATGTGGCAGTGGAAACACTCACTTGCC